AAAGTGCTTTACAAAGGCTGAAAGATGCATTTAAATAAAAGATATTGAAATAACATTTTTTAAGACAAAAGCCTAAAAGCCAAACAAAAATAGTTAACTGAAAAGAAGTTACATTGTAGCGACAGGTTATGAATAAACTGATTTAATGTTACATTACTATTAGTATTTTATTACAACAGTATGTATGAGGCAGGACATGATGTCACTGTCCAATGAAAAACATGCTTCTCCAAAAAATTCATTATTTCAGGAGCCTGAAAAACCACTTTCTCAAACGACTTTACAAAATAAATCTAAAACAAATACCATGAGACACCCTCAGCACCATCGATAGAGACCTGTCTTTACACTACCATCAGTGAACAGTTTCCTTTATTGTAATCAGCGGGGCAAGTATGTCAGTGTCAACACGACACAGACTAATCTTGCTTCATATTCACAATTAACAATGATGTTAGTTTAGCTAGTTGTATCAAGTTGTTAAAATTTGCGATACAAAGTGATCCATACGAATGATCATCATGAATACAAATGTTAACTAATACAAAGATATCAGACACTATCGATAGACAGAGGAACAGGCATGTTGATAAAAGTCACAGTCACCTAAATCAGACAGGCCTGGTTACCTTTAATAGCTGCACGGTATCATCCTCCTTGTAGATCTCATTAACCCGCAGGGCAAACTCGTCGGAGGCCTGGATTCGCTCACGGCAGGCCTGCCCCTGCTCCCCAAACGCCTGCAGCACCGCCTGGCTCTGGGACTCCACCAGCTCCTTGGCTGCCTTCTCCTCCTCGTCCAGCAGGAGGCGCACTTCAGTGAACTGCTGCGTCAGCCAGATGCTGCAGTGTCTCACCAAGACCTGAGGCAGCGACAGGCGGTTGCCGACCGATTCATAAAGGTCAAGCACTGGCCGTGCGTTATTAATAGTTATTATTTAAATTCAATCAATATAATGTAGCTGTCATGATATTACAGTTTTTTCCAATTGCCAAGATACATTCTGCAATACTGAAGTCACTTTCTCAAAATTCTTCACACAGTCTACAAGCAGCTCGGCCAAAGTCCCCCCCAAAATGCCACCAGCTAGTCCATGCCTCAGAGGAGACTCACACCTCCTAAGCACCTAATATATTTCTGGAAGAGCACTATATCACACACTGAAGAATGGCCTACGACACAGTAACAACAGAGAGCATCACATAAAACACATGCATCGTCAGCTAAGGACCATCTGTAAAGTAACTCTGGTGTCATTTGTCATAAACATTGCATTACAAAACAGAACAGAACACTTCTTCACCCTATAAAATGTTTGGGAATGAACAAACCGTGTTGCAGTTTGTTTCAATGGCCTTTATTCCTTACTGTAGAGTAATTACAAAATAATAATCAGAAGAACATAAGAAATTACATCAGTCATTTTTTTAATGCAGTATTTCAGGAAATACAAAATACACTGTGCACATTCACACGTGTGCTTACATATATATAAAAATTTACACACACACATTTGCAGTTGACCCCCAAGTACAGTAGTAATACTGCTAATCCATCCACTCCTCTGGATCCGGCCACAAGTTCTCATCTACATCACATCTGATGTCCACTCTGGTGATACATCTAGGGTAGCAGGTACCTGCTTAGGGAATCGCCTGGGATGGAGACCTGCTGCGTTGGCTCTCATTTTCATTTTGTTTATTTTGTATCATGTCAGTGTTACGATATATTTTGGAATAATTGATAATTGATCATTCTGTAGCAAACTGTAATCATTCAGTTTTTAATGTACGATTAACAGTTTTGGAACCAGTATGTAAGCATGTGCAAAATGGCCTCTAAAATGCAAAGTTTTGATGGTGGTGGATTTTGACTGAGAAAGGAATCCATGAATTTTGAGGCATTTAGTCACTGAATGCATTTTGTATGAAAGCAATAGGAAATGATTCACAGTTTAACCCAAATAAACTGATGTTATGGCAACTGTGTGAAGAGTTTTGCGAAAGTGACTTCAGTATTGCAGAATGTATCTTAGGAACTCAAAAAAAACTATATGCTGGTTTCCAGTTTTTCCAGTTCCTATTTAACACCCGCTTTGTGCTGAAACCTTAGCACACAATGCGCCCTTGATTTAATAAATGAAAGTGAAAGCGTCTCGTCTTGTGACACTTTACCTTCAGCTCCTCAGAGGCCTTCTGGATCTGGTTAATATTGGCCTGTTCCTGTTTGGTCTTGCAGCTCAGTCTGTTCTGGCAAATCTTAAGTAGATTCTACAGATTGTTCATGAGAGAAGGAAGGAAAGCCATCATTCTACAATATTTTCACCATTTTACCGTCTCATTTATGAACATTTACATTTTGAATGTATGTTCAAAACCTACGATCATGACTTTGCTAATGAAATGATAGGCCTATGAAAAGCACGAGGCTTTGATTTTTTTTAACACTTGTAAAATGTGTATGAGAACATGTTTTGCACTATTTTTGTAGCTTTTAGTATCAGGCAGCCGCTATTTCATGGGTACTCCAGAGATTCAGTGACAGGGTGCACAGGTGGAGAGTGGAGAAGAAAGTAAAAATTAGGGATGCACCGAATGTTCGGCAACCGAAATTATTCGGCCGAAAATAGCCAAAAAAAGCACTTTCGGTGTTCGGCCGAATAAGTAAAAAGGCAGAATAAATTTTGCCGAACAATGACGTTTTTAATGACGCGATCAAATAGTAACCCGCGTAGAGTGAGAGGCGCGCGCTTTATGCAGCAAACATGTCAGCAGTGTGGAAGCACTTTAAAGTGTCAGAGAAAGAGGCAAAAACGGCCGTTCACAGACACTGTTCTGCTGAATTGTCCAGAGGGGGTGCATCTGCAAAAACGTACAGCACTTCAAGTTTAATTTATCACTTAAAATCAAGACACCCCGAACATCATGCAGAGTACGAGAAAGACACGGCGGCGGCTACGGCAACAGCAGCAGCGAAAAGGAAAGTAGCTCCTCCCAGTCCTAGGACACCCACTCCATCTGTGGCTGACTTCTTAGAAAAGGCAAAAAAGTATTTTTGTTATTTGATTTATTTCTCTGAAAAGCAACACAAAATAGTAAAAAGCAAATTTTTACTATTTAATTATTGTAATGGTGAAAAAATTGGCAAAATAAATGGAAAAAAATGCGAAACACCGCGTTCGGTATTTGGCCTTCGGCCAAGCATTTCATTATTATTCGGCTTCGGCTTCGGCCAAGAATTTCATTTCGGTGCATCCCTAGTAAAAATCTACAAAGATTTTGTTTCAGCCAGTCAGTCAAGTACTCTGTGACTGACTCCTCATACTCTGTGACTCCTCATACTCTGTGACTGTGACTCCTCATACTCTGTGACTGACTCCTCATACTCTGTGACTGTGACTCCTCATACCCGACTGGTTGGTTGAAATGATTGCCTGGATGTTACTTTCTGGACCTGAAATTGCCACCTCTGGACAGGGGAGATGTAAACAACATTGGCAAAACACCCACCTGTGGCACTGAACCACTGGCGCGAAACTATTACCCACCCCCCCTGTGCCCGGGTGCCCCTGGCGGCATGGCGGATTACCCGTTTCTCTACAGCCTCCTGGTCCACGAGTTTGACGCGGTGGCCCTGGTGCCGGCCCAGGATGGGGCACATGCTGCACACACACATTCGGCAGTCGCGGCAGAACATCTCCAGCGCCTTGCCGTGCTCCGCGCAGCACCGGGCGCTCAGGTCGGCGCTGGGCTCGGCCAGGCGGTGCCCGCGGAACATCTCCGACGAGAGATGCGGCTGCAGGTGCTCCTCGCAGAAGGAGGCCAGGCAGGTCAGGCAGGTCTTGGATGCTGCGGGCCGATCGCCCAGGCAAAAATCGCAGAGTACGCTGGAGGGGGAAGCCAGCGGGGATGAGGCGCTGGGGGGTAGAGGGACATTCAGGCACAATGGGCAGCCGTGATCCAGTCTGGGCACCTGGCACCACACGCGCTCTATGCAGCCCAGGCAGAAGGAATGCCAGCATGACAGCATGACAGGCACGCTGGGTGGCCGCTGGCAGACTCCACACCTGAGCTGAGGCGCGCTCGGGCACTCGGCCATCGTCACCGCCCTGGCTGTCCTCCAGCTCCACCACTCCTACAAACCAAGCAGGAAGCAACCGGTACAGTCAACCACTTTGACTCTGTCTCTGCAATAACGATCATTTCGCCTATTAAAAAATGCTGCACTGATAAAATATCAAGATTGCCCATTTTATGCCATCTTAATGTGCGATTTTTGTAATTGGTAACAATATTGCAGCAATGATATCTTGACACCGAGTATTAAGAGCAAAGTAGCGTCTCTCCTGGTAATTATAACACCTCCAGACAAAACAAAACTTAGCTTGTCCGTTTCTGGCAATTCTCATTTTGTACTGCAAAAATAAATTAACTTTATCCCTTAAACGTGATTCAAACAACATTAATTAGGCCATATAAACCATAAAGCTATAGCCTATTTATTATAGGAATTTTTCAACGCGCCTGTTTTGCGACAGATCTAACAGCTTGTAACGTACCTTATTACCCGACGATGACGGAGCTGCGCTCGGCCGGCCGGCGATAGCGAAGTCCGGGTGGTTGTTTGCACTTCGGCTGCGGGCGCGTCAGCGCCGCTTCTCGCCCCTTCCTGCTTCACACATGTTCCGCGTCTTCTGCATTGGGCCCTGACCTGCAGGAGGGAAAACCCGGAAAAGATCACGCGCTAGATAAAACCTTAAAAAAAATGACTTTTATATGAAAGCTAATATATAAAGTCTTTAAGTTCTCACACGTACTTCAATTAGGTAAAATGAAAGATGTTTGTTGAGGTAGCAGAAAAAAAACCCATTCCGTTATATAAAGATTACGGTTTTAATGATTTTAGATATTTCAGTATAGCCTTATCCTTATATACCATTTAATTACACATAATGGTTTAAATAAACTGGATAAATGCATATGCATGCGATGTAAACCAGTCTTTTGGCAGATTTACCGGAAAACATTGAACCGACTTAACAGTTTTGAACAATATTACCGATCAGAAAGCAAAGCAATGCCGAGGTAGGCGGACTATTTATCCTGATCTGCAAAGCTGCCAGTATGTATGATGTATCACGTTACTTCCAAAACCATCAGATATTCCTGCCTTATTTATTCGCAGGGCTGCCCTGAGAGAAAGCGGAGATTCGCTCTGCCTAAAATAGCCCCGTGTTCCTGTCACTCAACTCGCTTCAATCCAGCACAGGGCTTCTGCATACGTGTTGTTTGCAGAATACATAATAGGAGTGTGAATGTGGTGATTTCTTTACGTTCCTCGTTCCACGCATGTAATGTCGGAGCAGACAGTCATCTTACTTTTCGCTACTGAACAAAAGCATGACTGTAGTGTTGATCAGTCAGGACATCTGAAAAACGTGTATAATTCAATGTCATAGCTGAGGAGCGGTATGACGCTGTCCAATGTGCAATTGGATTCTTTACTTAAAACTGTTTTCGTTTCAGTGTGACTTTCTGTTGCTTGATGAAGTGTTTGTAACCGCGGTCATGCGATTCTCACAAAGACCACATGCGGAACCACGGGTCAGTCCCTTGCAGAGTTGAGGCAGCTCGCAGCTGTTTGGCGGAAACAGAAGAAAACAGGAGCCCATCCAACTTTAAAGGGGTACACTTGTAGTTTTGAAGTCCAAGTGTTCTGCACTGCGTTGTCCTAACAAACACGGAAATGAGGAAGCAGCAGGCTCCTATGCAGATATTATAAGTTAACCAGACCAGAGAGTCATCCAGGAGCTACATTATGCAGCTTCAGATCTGTGTGATTAATCACAGCAGGTCAAGGAATTATTGCTTAGTCATCCCTTCTCTTTCTCAGTGGCCTGTTACAGTGTATAATCAAAGATGATATAGATCAATCACATATTCTAATCAATGGAACATTGGTGCCGTGTTTTATGTAAAAAAAAAAAAAAAAGTCCAGAAACAGGAAGTGATTCTGGCGTCTTCGACTGGCAAATCGAAAGCACCGGTGATGTTGAACAAACATCCCCCTGCCCTATTCTATCTTATCATCTTTAAACTCATATTGTAAAATTCAGGAGGTGTGTACAGGTGGGTGTTCATGAACCACACAAAGTGCATCATGGGAAGATAGACTTATCTCCTCCATAAAGAAGAAAGGCTTCATTTATGACCTGGGAGTTGTTCAGCGTTATCTGCACTTTGGTCGTTGTAGAACTGAGTGCCAGGAAGATCAGGTAGCTCCTATAAGGAAAGAGCTTCTGCTTCCAAGAAAAACGGGGAATGCCAACTTACGAAAAAGGACAAGACACCCTGCATCTGGAATTTTTCACCAAAATACATTTTATCTGTTGACTAACTGTATCCACTCATCCTTTCCATACACCCATTTGTAGGACACCCTTTACCATAAACCTTTTTACATCTCATGTTATTTTCAAAAATATTTGCTCCAAAATTGCTTTTTTTAAAATGCAAATACAGATCAGTGGGAATCCTGGTGAATTACTTTATTAAGGGTCCAAAGCACGTAGTGCTATGGAACCTTATTGTTTTTGTTAGGATTATTATTTTTTTTATTATTTTTAAGGGTCCAAAGCACGTAGTGCTATGGAACCTTATTGTTTTTTTTGCTTGTTGTTGTGTTAAATAGATTTATACTTTAGTTCTCAAAATTGTTTTATTGCGGCCTGGTAAGATCCCAGTGTTGTGTAACACGACTTTTGCATGTCGTTTCGGAAATGGCTAACCACAAAAATGGTAACCGAAGAAAGTGTCAAATCATTATAGCCGACAAGCTGTTTTTTTTTTGTATTGCCACCAGTTCCTCACATTAATCACTGTCCAGTCTGTGATGATTCCTGCGATAATGTGTTGCTTGATTGGCATGTTAGGTCAGTTAGCTCTATGTTCACGTTCCAACTCACATTGTCCAGTTCCGATCTTTTGCTCTGATCAGATTCGCCTCTTTTGACGGTTCACATTCATACAAGTGATCTGTATCTAACTGCAACGTGAATGCATCAATCTTCCGAAACTTTGATAGATTTTTGTACAGCTCACGTCTGTCACCAACGACATGAAAACATTCAGCGCATGCAAATAGGCAAAAAAAAACACGCATGAATTCCGATCTGACCGTTCTCATTCACGTCGCGTAGCCACCAATCGGATACGTAGCCTATCCAATCTAGGACCACATATTAAAGTGAATCAAATCTGCTCCCCAGTTGTGTCTAAAATTTTATGATTTGGATAGTATGACTCGGCACTCAGCCATCTCTCCTATTTGACTCTCCCTGCCGGCCCCTGGAGGATGGGCTCCCCCTTTGAGTCTGGTCCCTCCCAAGGTTTCTTCCTTCTCGGGAGTTTTTCCTTGCCACTGTCGCCTATCGCTTACTCACTGGGGGCTTTGGGTGGGGATGCTGTAAAGCGCTTTGAGACAATGTAATGTTGTGATAACACGCTATACAAAAATAAATTTGTTTGTTGTTGTTGTTGTTTGATTTGAAAAGAACGAGTTTCTGTGTCCACACAGCTCTGAAAGCACAAGATCTGCAGCACATAAAGGCAAAAAAAAAAAAATTATATTTAAGGCACTTCAGCCTAGCAATGTGAATGTAGACTGTTACCCGATCTACATTGAACCCAACCCCCATTCTCAATTTTATTGTTCTCAATTTCGTTGTGAAGTGACAATGACAATAAACATTATCTTGTCTTATCATGGCTCCCCCTGCAGGTGGTGGGCCCACAAGAAGGCATTTTGTGGCAAGTTATCTCAAAATTTGATCCTTTTCAGATCTTCACACATGCAATGCATTGGCAAAGTTCGAAAAGGATGCATCAAATACTTTTTAAGTTATCACAGTAATGAGACAGTGTCTGTGGTGGCAGACCAGTCTGAAACCATACGGAGTCGCTGTCTGGGGGATTTAATTCATAACAGTGAACAGAATGAGTGAATTAAGTAGAATTTTGACTGGGTCTAGAACTACTAAAATCTGTCAGTGTATAAATGTATATTAAACATCCAGCTCGATTATAAATTTAACTTAAACACAACAGTGCACTAACACTGTGCACACATTCATACTTTCTATATATTTCATATGGCTGCCTAGTATTTACCCATAGAATGCCACCCCCACTGCCTGCCAGAGAATCATAAATGGGTTTGCAGGTTCAGTGACAACCATCAAATTCACAGGACATCTGGTTTATGATAGCAGTAAAAATGTGGAAACAGCTCGTGATCAAACAAAGCAAATAACAGGGACATTGTTCCAACATGGCATGTGAACAGGTCACCTATCCAGGTTCCAGGTTTCGAAAGAACAAATGGGAGCATAACACTTTCTGGAGGCAACTTACTAAATTAAGCTGGTAAGTTATTGAGACCTTATCAACATGTGGATGCCTCAGATGAAAAATATTTTGACGGAATTTTAGATACATGGGCAATGATCGTACATCTTCAAAATAGCTTGTAGGTGTGGCTTTTTCTGTGAATTTTAATCAGTATTCTTCGGCAGAAAAATTTAAAATGATTGAGACAAATCAAGTGAAATACCCAGCATGCACCGCCAACTCCACATCATTTGAAGATTTTTTTTAGTCGCTACACGCATTGTATAGTATCAGACTACAACCTGCAGTGTAGTGAAAGGTGGTCAACTCCTCCATAATAAAACCAAGATGTTCTTACAGCAGAGTCAGGAGCCAGAAGACAAGATTCCATCATTATCGCCTCCATAGAAATGGAGGCCAAAGGTCATAGATGTAACTGGTTGAGCCTTTCATTAGTTATTCAATCAGGACTGACATACAGTAATAAATAATTCAGGACATAGCAGAAAATAAAGAGCAAACGCTAAGAATTTCCCAAAATAGTTTATTCAATATCTCAGTAGTACTCTTCAACTTTGAATTTATGCATCATGACGTCAGTTCAGGCCAGGCTGGGGAGCATGCATTGCGTTGCTGCACCCACCATGCTACGTAACACCTCTGGATCTCAGCTGGCGACCCCCCCCAGGCAGACACACGGTCCAGTACGACCCTCTGGAAATAAATTATCCCCCTGTAGTTGCCACAATCTATGCCATCACCTCTCCCTTTCCAGAGAGGGACTACAAGTCACATTTTCCAGTCAGTTGGGATGATGCCTGACTCTCAAATGGAAGCAAAGATTGCCTGCAATGCCAGGAGGACAGCCTTACCACCAGCCTGGAGAAGTTCACCCACAGATTCCTGCAGCCTACCCTACCCCCAGCTGATTCACCATCGGTGCAGTCCCCGTGAGACTGGGTGGATGGCAACTGATTGGAGGATTGGCCTCAAGAACTGTGGACCCAGAGTGTCTTATCACTATCATTTATTAATCAATTTATTTTTTAGTTTATTTTCCGGACCGACATACTGTATGTATATTTGAAGTTTGCTCTCCTTGCCAGTAGGTGGCAGCATTGCCTGCGTTAACGCTTCACTGGGATATTATGGTGGGAGGAAGAAGAATAGGAAGACGTCACGGGAAGTCGCGACCTGCATCCAGGAAGTAGGAAGCTCAGGTGTAATGGTCGTTTGTTTTTTTGGATATAGCCAGTGAGCAAACGTCAAATTGTATTAAGTAATGGGGCTTTTTGGGAAAACGAATGAAAGACCACCCAAAGATCTGGTGAGTATGTTTAAATTAAATGTTGGTAGTTACTGATTTCAAACGATAAAAACGTTAGGATGTCAAGTACACAGACAGTACGCCGAAATGCTTAAAACAGCAAAGTTAACTGCTTCCTTTACGTTGATGCCTCTGTTTTTAGTTCCCACTTGAGTTAGTGTATTTGACATAAGAAAGATTACCGGGGTTGATATGCTATTGCGCTACGTTCAGATTGATTATTTTATTATTGTGTCAACCCGATGACAGCGTCAGCGGCGGAAAAACAGTTCGCTTAAAAATGTGTGTCCCATAGTTCGTTTGTTGGACAGTTGTGTATAACGTGCAGCACCCAAGACTTCTGGTTTTCCGCGAAAAGAACCTTTTCGTTCAGTCTGGGAGTTTTTTTTTTTTTTTTTAATAATCGATTCGATGACGTCAGTAGGACGTTACGTAGAGAACGTCTTTTTTTAAGACGCACACAAGCGTCTTTCTCGCGGTCGGCTTTTGTGGGATATTAGAGGATTTTTTCTCATTTCTGTAAACTGTTTCTGTAAACAAATTGCCATGTTTACAATATTTGTTTGCATCTCAGTGCAGTTGTGCATTTCACACATTTTGCTCTGCTAGACAAAGGTTGAGTTTAAAAAAAAAAAATCACTGCTACATTAGCAATGTTTTAATGGGATATTTTGTATTAACAGGTCAATGAGTGGTCGCTCAAAATTAGGAAGGAGATGCGTGTGATTGATAGGCAGATTCGAGGTGAGTTTAGTGTTAAAGTGCCTTAACAGTTCCTCAGCATGGTGTTAGAACAGACCCAATGGTGTTTGACATTCACTGGTTTTCTAGGTACACACACACGCACATCTCACACACCCATTACTAGTGAACGGTAACTGGCTGGTAAGCTCTGCCATACTGTGACACAGACATCCAGAGGGAAGAGGAGAAGGTGAAACGCTCTATCAAAGAGGCTGCCAGAAAGGGGCAGAAGGATGTCTGTGTGATCCTGGCCAAGGAGATGATCCACTCCAAGAAGGCAGTGGGCAAGCTGTACGCTTCCAAAGCCCAAATGAACTCTGTGCTGCTGAGCATGAAGAACCAGCTTTGTGAGTAAACCTCCTTCTGAGGGCAAATGTGTCACGTGTGTGTGTGTGTGTGTGTGTGTGTGTGTGTGTGTGTGCGCGCGCACGTGCACATGCGGTTGGTACAAACAAAGGTGTAGAACAGGTTTGGGTGGAGCTAGTACAAAAGGTGGCCTATTTCTGTGGATGGGTGTATTGGTCTGAATACACCTAGATATAAATGCATTATGTACAGGTGATAAAGGTGCAGTGTCTTCTCATAACTAATGGTATCATGGGCGTTACTTTGTATCCGTCTTATACGTGGCATGTAGTATGACAGGACTGTGGTTCCTGAATCGTGCTCAATCCGGCAGCTGTGCTGCGTGTCTCCGGAGCCCTACAGAGGAGCACGGAGGTGATGAAGGCCATGCAGAATTTGGTGAAGGTCCCTGAGATCCAGGCCACCATGAGGGAGCTATCGAAGGAAATGATGAAGGTTGGTGCTGAGAAGCTGCCGTTCCAGCCGAGGCCTGTGTGTGGAGCGTTACTGTTACTGCCCTGCTCTGCGCGTTAGGCCTGTTACTGCCCTGCTCTGCGCGTTAGGCCTGTTACTGCCCTGCTCTGCGCGTTAGGCCTGTTACTGCCCTGCTCTGCGCGTTAGGCCTGTTACTGCC